TGACTCAGACTGCTTTGAATAAAGCTATGACACATTTTCCAGGGATGGTTTTTATTTGGGTCCCTGTAATTTTCAACTTTTATTTTATGATTAGTTTATTGGCTATAGGTCTTTAGCCAAGGTTCTTGATTTCTCTAAGACTCACTTTCCCCATCAGCACAGTACTCACCATTTTGGTTGTTTTGCATTACTTATTGAGCAACTACTATGTGCCCAGAACTTTCTAAGTTCTGAAAATACAGAGGTGAGTAAGATTTCATGGAGCTCACATCCTAATGGGAAAAGACCAACAATAGATTAGTGCTGTGGACATATCATTCTTATTCATCACCTTAGTATGAAAGATAAACAGTTTTTTAAGTATATTTCTGTCTAAATGTTATTTAAAGCTCTCATGCCTAGAAACTTTACGCAGATGACTTTGGTCTCTCCCCGTCCCTCCCATCTTACACGATGCTATGGGCATAGCAAGAAGCTCCTCATCTTTGAGTCTTCTCCCCCAAAACATCGAGCTTTCTTTTTCTTTTTTTTTTAAGATTTTATTTATTTATTTGAGAGAGAGAGAGAGCACAAGCAGGGGAAGTGGCAGGCAGAGGAAGAGGGAGAAGCAGGCTTCCCAACAAGCAGGGAGCCCAGTGCGGGACTGGATCCCAGGACCCTGGGATCATGACCTTAGTTGAAGGCAGACACTTAACTGACTGGGCCACCCAGGCGCCCCCAAAACACTTGAGTTTTCATGCTGTCTCTTCCTTCATTGTTGGTGGCCATGTTATTGCTGAGACAGCCTTCATTCCTACCTGCGTGGCCTCTTCAGGCCCAGTGAGCACTCTGCTATGTCCAAGCTACTCTTGAAGCCATAGAAGTAATGCTGCTTCTTACAAATGATGTTGAGGCACAGAAGTCTCAAGGAGGCTCTCTCTGACTGAAACACCTACATGCTCCATGCATCCGTGTGCTCTTTGGGATCCTGATGCCTCCTCAGGCCTCTGTCTGATATTTAAGATACAGGTTTCTGTTTCTGTCAGGCTCTGCTGACACGCTCTGCAGTCTCTGCTTCTCCAGCACCAGGGAAGCCAAGAGCAGCGCCTGTGTCCCTCAGACACAGGTCTGCCCTCATCGACCCTCTCCCCATTCCCCTCCTCCTAGATAATAAAATGAGAAATTTTTTCTAATCTAAGGCAAACCTTTAAACTCTTAAATTCTGTATCTTTCACACCTTTTGGCTATATCCCAAATCCTCTCTATGTCTGCTTTTCCCCAGAGGCTCTAAGGCAAGGAAATGGAATCTGCCTTTGGCCATGGGCCGCCATACTGGTTGCTATTCAAATGTGTCTTGTTTCTGTCCATAGTTTCATCAGGCAGTGCTCTCCGCTATTTCTGTACCCTCACGCGTGGCATGGCAGTAGGAGAGCGCGCCCCATACTTCCCTGGAGTCATGCCAGCTCCCCAAGATGCTGCCTACGAAGTGGAGGGCAGGCGTCTCTCCCTGGGCCCCGTGGAAGCCTCTGTTTTATTAGCTCGCCTCCCATAGATTTCCTCCTCATCTGGAGGGAAACCCCCTTTCGTCTCACCCCACATTTCTCCCAAACATTGTGGCTGTTCCCCAGTAGACGGGGCTGTAGGAAACCAGCTAGAGACCCAGGCTCTTTCTGCTTCTCATTTTGTCTCCTCTCTCCTGGGGGCAGCGTGGTGAAGCAGCCACTGGACTTGAGAGAAGTGAAGTAGAGCAAAGACAGCTGGGGGTGGGGGCAATTTCAAGAGGAAAAGTACACTTTAAAGAGTATTGTACAATGTTTACCCGCCACGCAAGTCGATAAACAAGAACTGATTGTAAGAAGCGCTTTGAAGAAAGAAAGCGTGATGGTGTGGGTGGGATGGAGAGTGACCAAGTCGGTGTCACCTTCTCCAAGAGCTGTGCATATGCATCCTTCAGACTGCCTTGTTAAATCCTCTCCAGCGGCATCCAGGAAATAGTCTGTTCCTCTGAGCTGCTGAACATCTTGCTCACTCTTCATGTATAATCCTAAAAAAAGGTAAGAATTCAGATCAGAGGACCAACTACCACTCACAGGTCAAATCCAGCCTGTTGTTTTTGTAGTGATCGTGAGCTAGGAATGGTTTTTATACCTTCAAGTGACTGGGGAAAAAATAAAAATTAAAAAAAGAGAAAAAGAATATTTCATGACTTGGGAGAATTCTACAAAATTAAAATTTCCATGTCCATAAATCATTTATGTATTATCTGTGGCTGGTGTCATGAGCGGGCATGGCCAGAAAAAGCTAAAATGCTTACTATTTGGTCCTTTACAAATAGATGTTGCTTGCAGCTCATCTGAATGATCAGGTTCCTGCTTGGTCTGGCACAAATCCATCTTCTCATCCAGAGTCCCTGCCCATGGGTAGGACTGCCAATATCAAGTTTGTAAACCTAGGAATTCATTTTGCAAACATCGGTTTCAGAGGCTAGTAACATTTTGAATTGGAATTTAAGGTCCTCAAATCATCCTTTTTGGTCTTTTGGAATACAGGTTCTAATACGTGACTTTGGGAAGACAAATAGCTACTGCTTGTTGAGCCCTTACCTTGTGTTAGACATTAACGGATACATGGCATGTGTGTTACTTCCATTTAATCCTCATAAAATATCTACACAGTTGCTACTACTCGTATTCCCATTTTACAGATGATAAAACCAAGACGCAGAAGATTTGAGTCATTCACCAAACATCATCCAGCTCATTATAGGTGAAGTCTGGATTTGAACCCAGATAGTCTGGTTCTAGAGCCCAGATTCTTAATAACCATGCTGAATAGGGATATGGTAGGATCAAAAAATGCTGTTTCCAATATAACATTTAATTCAGACTATAAACTTTAAACTTTGCCTTATAAAATACTTCCATGGGGGAAAATGGGTTCACAGTACAGTTACTAGTATAATTTATAGAAGTAGCAATTGATCATTTGCATCTGTTCTAATTTTGTGGTTGACACAGCATTCTTCTGGGATTTTATTTTTATTTTTATTTATTTATTTATTTATTTATTTATTTATTTATTTATTTGACACAGAGAGAGAGAGAGAGCACAAGCAGGGGGAGTGGCAGGCGGAGGGAGAAGCAGGCTCCCCACTGAGCAGGGATCCTGATGGGGGCTCGATTTCAGGATCCAGAGATCATGACCTGGGCCAAAGGCAGACGCTTAACCGACTGAGCCACCCAGGCGTCCCTGACAAAACATTTTTAGATGCAGTAACTGGTTTATAACCCTGTGAGATAAGCAACTCATTAGCTCCATTTTACAGATGAAAACCAACAAAACTGAGGCTTTGTAGGATCATGTATCTAAGAAATGATCGACCAGGAACTTAAACTCAGATCTGATTTCTACTCCAGAATTCTTTCCACTACCCCTGTGTTAGGCAAACTTTGATGACTTTTGCCCTATTTCTACTCCAGCTAAGCAGTTAATCACTGAGTAACTTTCTTGAAATGGATTCTTTGTACCCGATTAGCCCTCGCAATAGTAATACATAAGCAGTAATGTGCATAGAATCATGAGTCTGATTCCTCTTTGATTTACCCAACACTTCTGTTGTGCTTGCTATGTTCCAACCCCTTTACAGTAAATATTAACTCCTTTGAGCCTCATAGCAACCCCTGAAGGGTCGAGGCTTTGACTGTCCCCATTTTACAGATTAAGAAACCAAAACACGAAGAGATGAAGTAACTTGCCCAAGGACATATACCTACGAAGCAGTGAGTCAGGATTTGAACCTCAGAGTCTAGCTTCCAGGTTCTATCCTCTGAACCCCTTAAGTTATTTGATAAATTCAACTTATTTTCTAATACATTAAAATAAGTACATCAGTAGTAAAATTTAAAATATTTAGCTATGTGCCATCTGTAGTCATCTTTCATAAAAACTGTATTGTTCCATAGTGGAATATGCCAGAATACCCACCACCTCCTGACTATGTAAGAGAGAACACAGTCTGGTGACTTCACTGGGCATGTTACTAGGAAAAATAACAATACATGTTAGGACACAAAGTGAATACACAATAACTTACTGCTACAATATGAAATATAAACCATGAAAAACATGGTGCGTTGTTCTTTAATGTGGGGACTTTTATTGTTAATAGGAATTTTAAATTAGCTGTCTTTCCTGAAGTATTTCTTATACGGCACTCTTGTCATGTGAGCATTTAATTTTTGCTTACACATTTTCAAAATAAGAGACTGTACAACTTCTAGAGGCAGCTTCCCCCACAGCCATCCAGCTCAGTTGTTGGAGACTGTTTCTGTATTTGATCTAAAACCTGCTTCACTGACCCCTTCATTTATTTAGGTTGGTTTTAGAAGTGTTCTGTGATTCCTCCCTCTTTCTCCCCTTCCCTGGTTATGTTTGACACAAGCTAAAAATAAAATTAGTTTGCATCCCTCGAGACCTGACCAGCTGCCTGTGGCCAAGTTTGATAGTGCTTGTTAGTGGGAGAGCAGGCTGGGGTTAGAATGTTTCCGTGGACTTCCAGAAAATAAATCAGTCTGCAGAACATCAGTGTGATCGTGCATACTTCTGTTTATACGAGTACATAGTCTCACATAGTGGTAAATACACATGTAGCTCTAAAGTAATGTGATTTGTCTTAAGTGGAATGTGACTGTGTTCTTAATGCAGTTCATACGAAGAAGTTCCAGAATGGTTTTGTGCAGGAAATGGTATGATTAGAATAACTTTCTAGCATCTCAAGATACCTACTTGAAGGGACAGTAATAATCGGTGTGCCTCAATACTTCTATATACAAGTCAGTTTCTGTCATCAGAGTACCCTTATGAGTTGGTTAAGATATTCCCTTAACTTCTATTTTTTTAATGACATGAGGTAACTAGACAGAGGCAGAGAGAAGACAGAGGGAAGAGCTAATGTATAGCTGTGTGTGTCTCCCACTCATTAGCCTATTTGTATCTTCTGATTGTATTCTCCTGTTCCACAGGCATTTCCTATTCAAAACAGGAACAGGGACAACGCCACTGTTCAGCACTGCAACCCCAGGATACACAATGGCATCTGGCTCTGTTTATTCGCCGCCTACTCGGCCACTACCTAGAAACACCCTATCAAGAAGTGCTTTTAAATTCAAGAAGACTTCAAAGTACTGTAGCTGGAAATGTACTGCCCTCTGCGCAGTAGGGGTCTCCGTGCTCCTGGCAATACTCCTATCGTATTTTATAGGTAAGAACACAGTCTAACAGTTACTTTGTCTGTATGTCGGGATGTTTTATTGTTGTCTTCTTGGTTGTATCCATTTATGTGGCCAAGAAGCATATTACCAGGTTTATTTTCTGGAGGAGGGATTAGTTAATACCTTATCAATCCGCAGAGCATCTTCAGTAATCTTCGGGCAAATTTGGAGAAATAGGAAATCTGTATTTGCACAAAAAAATGAGGTCTATTCTTGGCCACAGACTAGAGTGTGAACTTGTGTTCGGCGTATCCCTCTTGAAACATGGGCAAGTCTGTGACATCTCATGGACACATAGTCATTCTTGCACTTGCAGGAAGGGACACTACGCAGGAGTCCCCTTCGATGCGTATTCGATGGGGAACTCTCTGCCACTTGTACTACATTACACACCTTTCAGCTAACTCAGCTATCTGCGTGTAAAACTCATCACTCAGGACCAACATCATCATCATCTTGCACTCAGCACTCTCCAGAGAACTGTGCATCCATAAAACAGTGAATGGCTTACGTACTCATTCATATATGTGGATTTTTCATCTTCTGATGTCGTATTGAGCATGGTTTTCATTTCATAGTAACCCCAGTGATGGGAGCTGCTAATAGAAGTTGTAAGTAGTGCTCTTCTTTAACTGTTTAATAACATGTATGAGCATCTGCACTATTGGAAATGGCTTTTGTAAATGCCAGAAACGACCACATCAGATTTTGATCTGTTTGTGAGTGTGGAAAAGGCCTACCACATCGAAATGCTAACCGTGTCCACTGAGATTCATCACCAGCGATATGGTTTACCCAACAAGAGCCATAGCCAGTGATGTGTCCTCAAGTTTATAACGCGATTTGTGATGCCCATGAAATTCTAGAACCAAATACGAGTATTACGGAGCCGTATATAGAATAGTATGATGCTTTTGCCATGAACCCGTTTCTGTCATTCGCTGCCATACTCCTTATAAATGATGTATTTTGGGAAGTGAACTAACCATTTTGAATCACAACATTTAAGAGAAATACAGAATTGTAAAGCATAAAGGAATTTTAGAGATAATTGAGTCAGGGATGGCAACTCGGGGGCGTGTTGTATACTATAACTTCCAGTTCTTTGGCCATGGCAGATATCACTAATGAATCGGGGCACTCCTTCCCCCCGAATCTGGAGACAGTCTCATTATCCCCATCACTGTGCTTCATACAGCATCTCATAGAGCCACTGTCCATCAGAGATGAAACCTTCCTGTCATTTTTCAATCTGAGTTAACTCCCTCCTCGTAAAAATGCTCCAACCAGGTACCACCAGGGTTGTCGCTTGGCCAGGATCCCACACTCATGAACCAATGCTACGCTCTTTCATAACTCAAGGTAAATGAGGAATATCACAACAAAAAAATCAGTATTCAGAGACAGATTTCTAGTATTCAGCTAGAAAATACCTAGCCATTAAGAGAATCTCTTCTAGTTAGTTGTATAAATTATGTGTATCTGTCAGTGGTGTGCTGCTAAAGAATTTTAAAAGGTTCTGAAATGCACCAGGCATAAATGGGATGTAATAAATTAAGCATACATATTTGTCAGGGATTTTTTTTTTACCATGGTACATGCCAGACAGATCGAGAACTATGTGGGGCTGGAAGTCAGTGTCTTGTGTTTTTGCTCTGTTGTTAGGCATCCTTTCTGATCGCCCTACCAGATGTGCAATATTTGGAATATCAGTTCTGATACCATGTAGTTTTATTTACAGTGGGTACTAGCAGGAAAAATAGCATTTTTAATGAAGATTTTATTTATTTATTGGACAGAGAGAGAGAGACAGCGAGAGAGGGAACACAAACAGAGGGGAGTGGGAGAGGGAGAAGCAGGCTTCCCGCTGAGCAGGGAGCCCGATGCGGGGCTCGATCCCAGGACCCTGGGATCATGACCTGAGCCGAAGGCAGCTGCTTAACGGCTGAGCCACCCAGGTGCCCCGGAAAAATAACATTTTAATATGCGATTAGCTCCCTGTTATTTGTGAGACTTGTCCTCCTTTCAAGGGCCCCTTAGTGAATATAACTGAGTATCAGACTTCTAAGTAAAAACTCAGAATGTTCCTTTTCTTCAAGCTTCCTGTTTTCCCGTTTCGTAATTAGCACATTATACTTTATTCCACTGTCATCAACTTGTCCCTCTGATTTTATCTCGCCCCACACGGAAAGACACAAATTATATAGTTAATGTACTCAGTTCAACAGGTATTTGTCGAACATTTGTTATGATCTAGTTCTTGTGCTAGAACTTAAGGTGATGCGATCCACCTGTTCTCTGGCAAAAATTACTTTTATCGTCAAAGAATTATCTCAGATTTCCGTTGCTTTAATTAAGTCCAAATATACTTACCATTTTTACTGGTCGTCCCGTACTTAAATGACTAACACACTAATGCAATGATTTTTTCCGTTGTGGTTAAAATCAGGTAAAGGATTTGTTCATCAGTTAGTGCGATACGTTTTTTCAGGCCGAAGAGACCGCCTCTACCCTTGAAAACAAGAACAGGGCACTCCTCGTCAGGGAAGGTTGTCCTTTTCTATTGAATGTGGTGTACAGCAGAGATAGAGACAAGGGACCCTTGCCTGTCCAGCTTAGATCGGTCTGATAAATCCCAGAATCAATGGGGAGACCGATGTCCTCATCAGGTTGACCTCACAACCTTTAACAGAAGTGCAGCCATCCTTACACTTTTTTCCCCATTCCCTTAGAGGTCCCTTTTCTCATATTGACTGTCAATAGAAAGCCAAAGCCTTAAGAAAGAAAGAAAAGGAAAAGCTTGAGGAATAACTTCTGTTCTTTGTCACCTTCCAGGAAGGTCGTGAGAAGTTAGGAGAATGTAATATTAGCATTTCTCTTCTCTAAGATAAAGTTATCTCAGCAGAGTAAAGGTGAATAACTTCTGAAAGGGAGGGAGTAGGGGAGGAGAACAGGCTTTGTTGTTTGCTTTTCCTATTCGTATCAAAATTTCAGAGAATAAGGAAAGAGTGAAAAAGAAAGCGAAAATACATTCCCATAGGTCGCTGTGAACTTTTTGCATAGGTAACCACTTATTAACTTCTTGGTGTATACCCTTCCAGATATTTGTCCATGCATATGGTACCAGGCTTTCTCACTTATCACTTATTAAATATCATATGTGTATGATTTTATTTAGTGGCTATGTTTAACCAGTTCCCAAAAATGCAGTGACTATTGTGTGTGTGTGTGTGTGTGTGTGTGTTTGTGTGTTCAGTTGATCAAAATTTTTTATTTTTTTTTAAGATTTTATTTATGTATTTGACAGAGAGAGAGACAGCGAGAGAGGGAACACAAGCAGGGGGAGCGGGAGAGGGAGAAGCAGGCTTCCCGCAGAGCAGGGAGCCCGATGCGGGACTCGATCCCAGGATTCTGGGATCATGACCTAAGCCGAAGGCAGACGCCCAGTGACTGAGCCACCCAGGCGCCCCGATCAAATATTTTTAAAAGATTTATTTATTTATTTTAGAGAGAGAGTGAGTGCGTATGCAAGCGGTGGGGAGGGGCAGAGGGAGAGAGAGAATCCCAAGCAGACTCCCCTCTGAGCACAGAGCCCCACAGGGGGCTGATCTCAGGATCCTGAGACCATGACCTTAGCCGAGATCAAGAGTCACACCTCAACTTACTGAGCCACCCAGGCACCCCCAGAATATTTTTTATCAGAATAAATTCTTTGAAAGGGTGTACCAAAATAGTGGGTACGTTTTACATTTTGCAAAACCATGGCCAAATTACCCTTTTTGCACCAACTACAAATGCTACTTTCTATCAATGTTTTTGATCCTTGACAATCTCAGTAAAACATGTATTGTTGTTTTCATTTATTACCGAATATCTTTTCTTAGACATATTGACCATTTCTAGTTGTGTGTGTGTGTGTGTGTGTGTGTCTGTGTGTGTGTGAATGGCCTAGTTTCCCCCATTTTTCTATTGGGGCTTTTCTCCTTTTTTTTCCCTTTGATTTGCAAGTGTTTATTTAGGATATTAGTCATTTGTCATATGTGCTATATATTTTCCAGTTTGTTATTAATTTTGCTCATAATTGTTTTGCCGTATACCATATAGAATTTTTTAGGTAATTAAATTTATCCGTTTTTCCCTATAATTTCTTCTTTTTTTGAGAGAGAGAGAGAGAGCACGTGAGTGCACAAGCCATGGGGGAGAAAGGGAGGGGCAGAGGGAGAAAGAGAGTCTCAAGCAGGTTCTACCCTCAGCGCAGAGCCCAACATGGGGTTCAGTCTCATGACCCCGAGATCGTGACCCTGAGCCAAAATCAAGAATAGGACGCTTAACTGACTGAACCACCCAGGAGCCCCTCTCTGTAATTTCTGATTGTCATGTTATACCTTATAGAGTATTTATACTCTAAAGAGTATTTTTTTAAAATTCATGTAAATTTTCTTCTGGTACGTTTATGGTTTTTCCATAATTACTTTTAGGTCAACATTTTTCTGGGCACTCTGATAGATGTTAGAGGTTCAAATTAGCTTTTGTCCAGAAGCTCATGGTCAAGCAACGTACATGAACACACTTTTAAGAGTACATAATTTCATAGCAACTTGAGCCTTGTGAACAAAAACTAGAAGAGAAAGGAAGGAAAATACCAATCTCTGACTGAAGATGTTAGGGAAAGACTTGATCTGGCAGGTGATGCCTGAAAGATGAAGAAGAGTTCAGTTCACTAGGTTGGACAACAAAATGGTTAGCAGGAGATCACCTTGAAGAGAGATCATCGGAAGCGGGGAAAGGAAGAAATGTGAAGTATCCACAGTGGTGCGCGTGGAGTGCTCACAGTGGGCCAGACATGGTGTTTGAAGCTGCGTAGGAACTGCCTTATTTAATTCTCACGACACCGCGAATTTAATAGGAAGCATCTGTCATCCATTTAACAAGAAGAATCTATCACGTAGGGAGGCACCTCGCCTGGAGTCACACAGTCAATGATGGAAGC